AATAAATAAATAAATAAATAAATAAATAAATAAAATAAAAAAAACCTGGGGGGGGCGCCTGGCTGGCTTGGTTGGTAGAGCACGCAACTTTTGATCTCAGGGTCATGAGTTCGAGTCCCATGTTGGGTGTAGAGATGGCTACAAAAAGAAATAAGCTTGGGGCGCCTGGGTGGCACAGTCGGTTAAGCGTCCGACTTCAGCCAGGTCACGATCTCGCGGTCCGTGAGTTCGAGCCCCGCGTCGGGCTCTGGGCTGATGGCTCGGAGCCTGGAGCCTGTTTCCGATTCTGTGTCTCCCTCTCTCTCTGCCCCTCCCCTGTTCATGCTCTGTCTCTCTCTGTCCCAAAAATAAATAAATAAAAAAAAACGTTGAAAAAAAAAAAGAAATAAGCTTAAAAACAAAACAAAACAGAACTGGGATAGCGAAACCAAAAGGAGAGACCATTTTTTTTAAAAATGGGGAAAACAAGGAAATTTCTGCCTGAGCCAGATGTGGATAGAGACCAACGTGATTAGCAGATGCTATGGTCAGTGCTTTATACCTGTTAGTTCATTTACTATTCGCAATAGCCCTGGGAAATAGATATCATTACTCCTACCTCATGAATGCAGCAACTGACATGGAGCAGAGAAAGTGTGCCCAGGCCACCCTGGTCAGTGACTGGCAGGGCTGGAGCTCAAACTTACCCCTGTAACTCCACACCCTGCGCTCTTTCTCAAAAACCAGGGTGCTTCAACCAGCCAAGCCTTCGATATCAATTTGCTTAGTGCTTTTAATAAGTTATGGGGCTAAGAGAGGTCAATGGTTTTTGGAACAGTGATGTTTTTCAGACCCATACGACTGTCTAGGGCCGTGCCACCCAATATGGTAGCCACTGGGCACAGGTAGCTATTTAAGTTGCTTAACATGAAATAAAATTTTAAAATCGGTTCTTCAGTTGCATTACCCCATATTTTAAGTGCTCAATAGCCACACGTGGCTACTGGCTACCATACTGGACTGGGCACAGAACATAGAACATTTCCACCATCGCACTGACCTAAGGGACTCCCCCGAGAAGTGGTGCAGTTGTGTGGTAGGGAGAATCTTAGTAGCTTTAAAATCACTGCTGTCCAGAAGGTTAGCGGGCCTTTCCACCGCCACTCTTGGGCCTCCACCATGTCCCTGCAAATTCTTTGCCTACGATGTACTCTCGGTGGTTGACATTATAGGAAGGAATAGCTGTGACTACTTTATGCGAACTGATTTAATTGTAGGTTCCACCTTTGAGAGGAGAGGGTTTCTGTTTGTTTTTGAGCTGCGGAGGAAGGGGGCATATAATAATTCCACTTTTAAGAACTGGCTCAACTAACGCTTGAAAAATACAAGGTAAGAGATTTATTAATAGGAACCAGGTCACGGAGCAAAGGAGTTTACAAATAACATTACATTCACTCCAGTGGTACCAGAGTACATTTCCACTACAAAAAGGGCATATTTATTTTTAATTTTATTTTAGAGAGAGAGAGTGCCAGTGGGGGAGACGGGCAGAGAGAGAGAGAGAGAGAGAGAGAGAGAG